AATGAGCTTTATTATTTGTACTCATGCTTATTTCATATCTATTGAGTACATCATGTTGGCTTGGGTCATATAAGCTTGCCTAACTCTTTTGTTCTTATTGTCAAAAGCTTATATGAATCAAGCATGTTAAAAACCTCATCTCTTTTACATACTCGAGGTGGTATTGTCATCAATCACCAAAAAGGGAAGATTGAAAGCATCTAGGCCCCTAGTTGGGTTTCGGTGATTAATGACAATATGTGATTACTGTGACTAACGTGTGTTTTGCATATGCAATTAAGTTAGGTCATGGTAATGGCAATTGATTGGGCAATCATGGTTGTCATGCCCCTATGATGGAAATCGTTTTGGTTTTCAAAGGATGGACGACAAGGTTAAGGATGGACTAGTTCTAAGTGTCGTTTGGTGTTGAAGAGACACTTAGAGTAGTTTAGGACTTTGTTTTTCCTTTGGTCGTACTATTAAGGGGGGTATGGATGGGTAGCTTGACCTAGGTGAGTCTAGTAGGTTAGGTGTGGTGCACACTTGTCAAATCTAGCACTAGGTAGCTCCTAAATAGCCTTTAGATCAATTGGAGCAAACTTCATTCACATATGATTGAGAGTTGGAAGTGAATGGAGGGTCAAATGTTGATCGGACACTGACGCAGAGTCCGGTCAGTTCATTTGATCAAGGTGAAGTCGTCTGGTGCGATCGGACGCTGAGAGGTGAGTGACCGGACGCTGGGTGCCAGAGTTCGGTCGACTCTAGTAAGGTTCTAGAGAGGAGATTTCGTGACCGAACGCGTCCGGTCAGTGCTGACCGGACGCTGGACAGAGTCCGGTCACAACTTAAACGACTCAGTGGTGGGTGAACTGACCGGAGCGTCCGATCACCCTGCAGTGGCACATAACGGTTCGTTTTCAATGAGGGTGTATAAATACTTCCTCTATTCATTTGAGGGATTACTTTTGCTCATTTCAACAGCTGAGAAACACCCTTGAGAGTGTCAAAAAGAGCAAGGTCCTAGTGAGGTGATTGAGATTTGAGAATCCAAGTGAGAGGCCTCATTAGTGAAAGCAAGAGTAGCAAAGTGTGCATCCACCCTTCTCATTAGGCTTGTCGTGGTCAAGTGAGAGTTCGTGCTTGTTACTCTTGGTGATCGCCATCACCTAGATGGCTTGATGGTGATTGGGAACTTGGTGATCATCCGGCGGAGCTTGTGGATGACCCAACTCAAGTTGTGAATGGTTGTGGGTGATTCACCGCGATGGAGTGTCGAAGAATCAATGTGTAGATAGCACTTGATCCTTGCACGGATCAAGGGGGAGCTACACCCTTGCACGGGTGCTCCAACAAGGACTAGTGGGGAGTGGCGACTCTCCGATACCTCAGCAAGATATCGCCGTATTCCTCCTTCTCTCTTTACTTTAAGCATTTACTTTGAGCAATTCAATTCTTGTCTTTACATTCATAGAATTGCCATACTAGAGTAGGATTGGAACATAGGTTGCTAAACTTTTGTGCGGTAGAACAATAGAAATATTTTCTAGGCACAAGAGGTGAAGTGGGCTAACCATAGGGTTTAATTATTGCAAAGAATTTTAGAATTAGCCCAATTCACCCCCTCTCTTGGTCATCTTGATCCTTTCAATTACCACTGTATTTTTGTAGGGTCTTGTCCCAGCTGTGGCATAAGTGTTCCCCGAGACTGAGCATAGATTTTGTGTGAGGCATCTGTACCAAAATTTCGAAGTCCATTTCAAAGGTGACAACCTCAAAAACCAGCTGTGGACATGTGCTAGGTCCACCTGTGTGAGGCATTGGGAGAAGAACATGCAGAAAATGAAGGAAATAGATGCAGCTGCCCACTTATGGTTGGAGCAAATGGCACCAAATACCTGGGTCAGAGCCTTTTTCGGCACTTTCCCAAAATGTGATGTGTTGCTCAATAACAACTGTGAGGTCTTTAACAAGTACATCTTAGAGGCTAGGGAGCTACCCATCCTAAGTATGTTGGAGAGGATCAAAAACCAAACAATGACTAGACACTACAACAAACAAAAGGAAGCAGAAAACTTTGTTGAAACTATTTGCCCAAAGATAAGGAAAAAAATTGCCAAGAATGCTGAATTTGCTAATATTTGCTATGCCATGCCTGCTGGCCAGGGAATATTCCAAGTGCAGTCCAAGGAAAACACATACATTGTTGATATTGTCAACAAGCAATGTGAGTGTAGGAGGTGGGATCTCACAGGTATTCCATGTTCCCATGCCATTTCCTGCTTGAGACATGAGAGGATACTTGCAGAGACAGTGATCCCTGCCTGTTACTCTATTGAAGCTTTTGCAACTGCATATGCCAACAACATTTGGCCATGTAAGGACATGGCTAACTGGGAGAAGACTGTTGGACCTCCAGTTGCTCCACCAGTTTATGAGCAAAGGATTGGGAGGCCACCAAAGGCAAGGAAGAAACAAGCATATGAGGTTCAAGGCAGAAATGGACCTAAGCTAACAAAGCATGGGTCCAAAATGCACTGTAGTTGGTGCAAATCACCAGATCACAATGTGAGGACATGTGAATTGAAGAAGGCAGGCATCAGTCCAAGTGGCATTGAAGAAATACCTTCAATAGTTACTGATGACCATGGTGTATGTACTGTGTTATGTTCTATTACACTAGACAGTCATCCCTTCAGTTGTTAACATTACTGTTCTTATAGGATGACATAGAGGCCGAGGCACCACCACCTTTTGATTACCCAATGCAAGAAGAGATGACACAGGAAACAATGCTTTCACAGATGCTTTCTCAGGTTTGTGTGATTTCAATTTTACTCTACTGTTTGCATGACCAATTTTACTCTACTAATCTCAATCTGCATTTTTCTTGCTGCCTGTAGCCCACTCAATGCAGCAGCCTAAATAAGCAGTTGGGACCCTTGCCAGACTCTACCTCATTCAGTCCAACCAGCCAACTAAAAGACCAGTAGTTATCACTGTTGCAATTAAAGCAGGCGGGGCAAGAGTGAACAAGAAGAAAGTAACTACTACCGGCAAGAGCAAAGAAGCTGGACAAGGTGGAGAGAAGAAGGGCAAGAAGACTAGAGGAGTTCAAGGGAAGAAGACCACAGCTAAAAATGCTGCATGAAACTGTGGACATGCCAACCTGACTTTTGTGACTGGAATAGAAAAGCGATATAGTTGCATTTTGTTGATAGCAACATGGAATAGGATAGCAGTATAGTTGCTTTTGTGGATAGCAACATCTTTTGTAATGCATAAACACTAGTATGCATGCCAAAAGTCTAGACATCTTGTATAGGGCTGCCGACACTGAACTGCAGCTGTCCAAGTGTAGATGGATGTATGCATGTGATGCAATGCCATTGTCTTAGGCTACAAACTTCATGACTGGATGTACAACTTTGGTTGCTAAGCATCACAATGCAGTTTGCATAAGTGAAATGTGTTCTTCTAAAATTGCAGTCACAAATACCACAAATTGTAGTCAGATAACATACAGGATCAATACCATAAAGCATTACCAGTTCTTACATGGAAATATTACAAGTTCACACATAAACAAAAACATTACTACTCCCCAAACCTACTTCACATTCACCATTCACTTCTTCATCTGAATAAACACCAGCAGCAGTTGCACAACTACAATGCCCAAGCACATACAGAGAATGCATTTCAAGAGCCCTGCAATATCATATCCTATATTGATCAAAGTTCTAAGCTCTACTTCAACAACTGTGGCATGTTCTACTTCAACAGCTGTGGCATCTCCATTTCCCAGGTCGACATTCTTCTCCAAAAGGCTCTCAGTAGCTTCATCAGATTGCATCCTAGCTGCCTTTTCTTTTGCTGCTTCTGTCTCCAAGTGGTTGATGTATCCTGCCTCCCAAAGGAAAAATGGGCAATCAGTTCCATCCTTCTGTAGATTCATCAAACAGACAAAACACACATACTGAAAACTTGGACTCTAATACTCGGATTTGGAATGAACTCAAACTGGCAAACCTAACTTACATTGTGATCTGGGCAGGTGTAGAAGATATGATCCAAGGACCACGGCTTCTTCGAACGGCACTTTACTACCTTATGACGATGGCACTTCGGGCACGTAATTAGTCGCGGCTCATCACCGCGCCTCCTGGTCGCCGCCACCGAGCTCGATTCGGCGGCCATCTCCCCCACCGCCCACGCCTAGAGGGCCCTCAAGGGGCGGGCGTCGTGTCGTACTCGCTCTCTGCCAGCGCTGCCTCCGTGAACGACACCGGTCACCGGCGTCGCCATGCTCCGCCCCTTTTTCCCCCTTTCGTCGAGGTCCGAGAGAAAGGAAAGGAGTGAGTGGAAGAAGATGAGATCGTCCGGGGGCCTTCTTGCTAAAAAGCCAGCACCTGCCGAGGGTCACGTGTGCCTCACGTGCCTCCCCTGCGTACGTGGACAGCCACGTGGACTGCTTGACACCGCCTGGGCTGTTTAGGACCTAGATGGACCGAATTAAGTAGATTAGGGAGTCAAAAGTGCGATTTTATAGTTTGGGGATCCAGACGAAATCAGCCAAATACTTTAAGGACCGGCCGCGCAATTTACTCTTTTGGCTAAAAGGCCAGCAGCCGCCGAGGGTCACACGTGCCTCACGTGCTCCACGTCGACTGCTTGACACCGCCTGGGTTGTTTAAGACCTAGATGGACCGAATTAAGTAGTTTGGGAAGCCAAGAGTGTGATTTTATAGTTTAGGGACCCAGACGAAATCAGTCCAACACTTTAAGGACCGACCGTGTAATTTACTCTATATTGCTTCTGTACCAACTAAAACAATAGGCTTTGAAGAACATGAAGTCAAAAGGAGGAGTCTTGTCAAACTGTCATCAGTCATCGAACAACAAGAGAACAAGCTTTCCCAAAAACTCAACTCAAGCAACACTTTGCCGATGTCACTTGTAACTCTGTAAAGTGAGTGAAGAAATCAGTAGCCAGCAGTCAGGGGGCTGTCCAACAATCAGCAACTCCAAATGTCAGGGCCGCTGAAAAGCCAAGACGCCGCAGGAGCCGGTGGAACATGAGCGAAGGGCATGATGCGCACGTCTGGTACTGCCACCAGCAATGCCACCAGCAAGTTGTACGAGACTCTAGAGCTCAGCTTTTCTTGCAACGTCTCTAGTTCTTCAGGCTCTGCTTCCTCATCATGCGACGGCTTGGGTAGCAACCCGCTGCAGAGAAACTCCAATGGAGAAGAAAGTTGATAAGATATGACCTGTTCGTACGATGCCTCTGGTTCTGCCTCGTCCTGCGATGGCTTGGATTCGATCCCACTGTTGAGAGCCTTCAATCGAGCAGCAGGTTCATACCACGCTTTATAGCTGATCGGTTCCTGTGACGCGGCCGCCGTAGAAATTGGAGCAGGATAGTCGAAAAGCCGGCGCTTTGCCTTCACGGGAGATGAGACCTGATTGAGGAGCTCGTCAGTGGGCTTTCTCTTGTGCGCTGTTGATGATCTAGAACTAGAATTAGAGTGGGCCTTATAGATCTTGCAAAGAACTAGCACGGGCTCGCCGCCATGGATGCGGCCGTGGTTACCTTGTTGATCGTCGTCGCTGAACTCCACCATATACCATTGAGTCCTTTCACTGAAGTTCTTGCCGGTCTTAATCTTGTACGAGAAATACTGTAAGTGGCCGATGCAGTTACCCTCGTCGTCGAACATGGCACGGGGAGCACGCTCGGAGTGCCAGGTGCCCACTCCGCCAGCGACCTGGCGAGACTTGCGGGTGTCACGGCTGCTCTTAGGCTTCACGTGGGTGAAGAAGAACCAGGAATCGCCATCCCCTTTCTTCGCCGGGGCCGGCTCGTGGACCGATGTGAGGATGGCTGGGTCGGCGGCATAGATGTCGACATCGTAGAAATGCATGGCGGCGGCGGCGAGGAGCGGCCCGCCAGCGAGCTTCAGGCGGAGAAAGGCTAGCAGCCTGTCGTCCGAGTAGTCGGACGGCGTCATCTCCGACGGGAGGGCACCTTGGCGTTGGCGTGGGAGATTTAACTTTTTACCATTACTACTATACACGTGCGACACGCACGTGTTATGGAAACAAGTTACTATGCCGTGGGCTAATGTAATTCACATGTGCAATGATCTAGTAAGACAGGATCAAGTTTTAAAAATCTATCTCGCAATGGATAAATAGTAAGAAAACAAAATCAACAAATCAATTCGCATACTATCTTCAACGTGTGTTTGTGGCCAATACATCCACCCTCTCTCCCCATCCCACCCAACACTCATCCACTCATTTGACTTTTTGTAGGAGCTGTGGGTCGCATGTAGTAATAAAAAACATGATGTCCGAAGCCATGCCAGTTATGGACTCATGTCTAGGGATGCAGATTCGATAGCTTTGCTCTCCAACCCTCTTGGACCTCCAGACAGCCTTTCCTTGTTCTCACCTAGAAAATAATCTAGTTAGAAAATTAGAACTAAAACATGTGCGCTGGAAAATTGAAATTAAACAATTTAAATATCAATGCATCAATAGAAAGCAATAAATCTCAGTTAAATTGTCCTTTTTTCAATAATTAGGCCACAACCTAGAGTTTGATGTTGACAATAGCGAAGTCCACGGCAAGCGCATGAAAATTTAGTAAAAACTTAGTAAACATATGCCTTCCATACGTAGATAATTTCCCTACAGTACAAATTAAATAAAGACACTAATTTATTGAGTTGAACATATCCATCAGTAACTATATCTCCATGCTAACAAGTCTCCAAGGGTATCAGATCTGAATTCATGAAAGCTATCATACCAGCAAGGTCAGGGTGTGCTCCATATCCATAAGGTCATCATACAAAAGGACCAATTAATCATAAAAGTGAAATCCAAGCAAATAATAGTACTGCATCGGATGAAACAATAAAGATGGGTTGTCAATCATTGGACGCTGTAGTAATCAGTTAATTAATGGATGAACAATAACTATCACAATGTAGCACTACTTTGATTATGCATCATTAATCAGGTTCGAGGGAAATCATTATTAACCATTGCACGCTATGCCATTCCCAATTTCACAAGATCACAACCTTAAAACTCAAACATAACCTGAAATCTCGCAGACTCCACTGGCACCGGATCCTCATCGGCAGAGGTCTGTCAACGAAGGTAATGCAAATGAATCTAAACCAGGAAATATTTTCCCTGGCCCGCCTCTTTTATCAAGGCACCTTTTGTCTGGTTTGACCATACTGGAATGAAAGAAGAGAAAACAGACTAATATGTTAGGTAGCAGCGGGCGCGGACGAGGCCGGCCATCGCTAGGAATCAAATTGGGGCTAGTGGAGACGAACCCTAACACATGACGAACCAAACATGGAGACATCACCAAAGGAAATAGAAGACCATGCGGACCGCTGCCTGCGTTTAGGGTGCGCCTGTGGCGAGCGCGTAGGCCGGCGGCATGGGCGGCGGGCGCACAGGTGAAGGTAGGGTGCCAGCGGTGGCGGGCGCACATGGGAGGCAAGCACGAGGGGGCGACTGTGGCCGGCACATAGGGCACGGCTACGCCGAGCGCATAGGGCGGTGGGCATGGACGCGACCGTGACGTGGGCGGCGGAGCCGAGAGCGTCGGAATCGTGGAGAGAGGAAGTTTTTTTTTCTTCTGCAAGGCAGGACCATAGTTGGCCATGCAGCCCGAGCCCGTCGGCCCGCCCAAGGCCCGTTTTTTTTGGCCCGGCCCAAGCACGGCCCGGCCCCGCCCAGAGGAGTAGGCCGTGCCTGGGCCTTACCCCAGGCACGTGGCCCGGCACGGCCCGGCTTGCTACAGAACAGCCGGCCCGCTAGCGGCCCGGCCTGCCGCCACCCCGCCCCCACGCCCGGCATATATAAGCGACGCGTCCCTGTCGCCCAGTCGCCTCGCCTCGCCCGCTCCGCAGTCCAGTCGCCTCGTCCCTCGCCCGCTCTGCTCCGCTCTCCGCTCTCAACCCTAACCATAATCCCCACTCGCTCGCCGGCTCACCGCGGCGCAATCTCTGCTCTATCTCTCGCCTGCATCGGCCGCATCCACGATCTGGCGAATTTGAGCTCTCTCTCATGATCTACTGATCTCGTCTGTCGTCCCCGACTCCGGTGACCTTGATCCGCCTATCTGACCCTGTCTCCACTCTCCTCCCTTCTCCCTCTCTCCTCTCTCGCTCTCGGTGAACTATGTGAGTTTGTGACCGTGTTCCCGTCTGTCCCTCATCCGCTGTTCGCCGTCATTTCTAATCGGTCTCTCTCCTCTGGGTGGCCCTCGTCATCTCCGGCACCGGGCTCTGGTTGCGCAGGTACTCCACTAACCCTAACCCTAACCCTAGATCTGTCTTCTCCACTTATTGTGTCTCTTCCACTGAACGACTGACTCTGGATTTGTACCTCTATCTCTCTGACTCTCTGTTTTTCTCCTCCGTGCAGGTCGGTTGCCGATGCCTCGTCGTCCTCTTCCTGTGGCATAGACCGGGCACGGCTGTCGCGCGCACCGTTGAGAAACGGTGCTGGAGATCTGCCGTCCGCGGTCAAGGTCGCCATGGCGGATGACGACGATGTCGTCTATCCACTCACTGGCAACGATGACCTGATCGCGGCAGGGCTGCTCCCAGAGGACGACGACGACATCCGTGACGACGCTGCTGCGTTGTTGGGTATCGATGTCGGTAGCGGCTCTGCTCCGATTCTGTGATCTATGACTGTGAATGTATTGGACATTCTGTGAATGTGAAACTGTGATCTGTTTGTGAATGCAAAGGGTAACGGGCCGTGGGCTGGCACGGCCCGTGATTCTAGTTGTGCTTCGTGGGCCAGCCCGACACGGAAATCGGCCCATAGGGCCGTGCCTGGGCCGAAGGCCAGGCCCAGGGCCCTGTGAGGCACGGCCCGGGAGGCACGGCGTGCCGTGCCGGCCCATTGGCTATCGGGTCATGCTGGCACAGGCCCGGGCCGGCCCGTTGGCCATCTATAGGCAAGACGGAAGGGGGAGGAAGAACCGTGTGGAGGGGCTAGAAATATCTGGACAGCCACGACACAGGTGTTTGCAAGCCGTAGATGGTGAATCTGATGGCCGAGAAATGATGGTGACGTGGCCGCACGAGGGTTCAGTAAATGGTGTTGAAAAATAAGGGTAGATAAATAAATAATGGTAGATTGTAGAAATATTTTTTAAAAAAATATCAAAATATTTTCTGAAATAGATATGCATTTAAAATACTAAAATCTTATTTCATATTAGAAAAATCATGGAGAATTTGTTTTAACTCAAACAAAATATGAAACCAATTTCATTTTTTTTCTAAAATCATTTCTATGTTTTTTTTTTCTAAAATCATTCTCTATGCCAAGTTCAGAAGGAACGCGTCACAATCTTTCTGTCTGGTTATTCAGCCCTCTCACGGCAGCATTGCTCGAACGAGATTGGGAATCTTATTTCCTCAGAATAAATGAATGAATTCACTTCCCTCAAAAAATGAATGAACACTCGCGCGAGTCCATCCAAAAAAATTTCACCGATGAAACTGCGTTCGCGCGGACGCTGCGTGGCCTGATGCCCGGCCCCAAAGCCCAAACACGCTGAGGCGGTTCCCCAACCAGCCAGCCAACCTACCCGCCCTGTTCTTCCCACGTGTTTCACACGCCTGGACCAATCTGCTCGCTGCCCCCGAGTCGGCCGTCGCTTTCTTTGTGGCTTGTTCATCGGTACCTCCAAGTCTCCAACCACCCTATCCGCCGCCTGCCTTGGTCTCCTAGCGGGCGCTCGTCTAGTCGTCGCCATATCTTCTCCACACTTCTCCGCTCTCCGGCGTACGGCTCCGATCCGTACTCGTACAATCCAAACCCTACTTAAAAGTTAAAACTCCGCCCCGAGCAGGCGCAAGGAGTGCCGTGGTAGGTGGAATCGCCAAAATGCCCTCCGTCCTCCACCACCTCCTCCTCCTCCCGCTGCTGCTCGCCGCCTCGGCCGCGGCGGCAGCCACCGCTGGCGCCGGTGGGGACCCGCCGGCGTACGAGGCGCTGTTCGACGCGTGGTGCGCGGAGCACGGGAAGGCCTACGCCACGCCCGAGGAGCGCGCGGCGCGGCTGGCCGTGTTCGCGGACAACGCGGCCTTCGTCGCGGCGCATAACGCCCGCGCCAACGCCGCTGGCGGCGGCGCGCCCCCGTCCTACACGCTCGCTCTCAACGCCTTCGCGGACCTGACGCACGACGAGTTCCGCGCCGCGCGCCTCGGTCGCATCGCGGCGGGGGCGGCGGCGCTCCGGAGCCCCGCCGCGCCCGTGTACCGGGGCCTCCACGGCGGTCTGGGCGCGGTTCCCGATGCGCTGGACTGGAGGGAGAGCGGGGCCGTCACCAAGGTCAAGGACCAAGGGAGCTGCGGTGAGCTTCCGTTACTCGATTCTGCTCTATGCTTTCGTTGAAATTAGCAAAACCCAACCCATGTGTTCCCCACATCAGAGTCCAGTGTAGTGTTCAGATTGCTTGTTAAACGAAGTACACAGTAGTGAGTTAATATCCATTTGACCCTTCCTAAGGAGGAGTAGATTCGATTCGTAGAATTAAGCTTAACAGTAAAAGGGAACCGAGGATGAGGAATCCAAGCCGATTTCAGACTTTTCGAATTCATCAGGTGCACCAAAACATGGAGGGTTGATCAATCGATAAGAATAGCTCACTTGCTTTTCTACGGTGGATTAAGTCACACCTCTGGTGTTTCTCATTCTGTCCAATTATGATTTTTCCAATGCTTAGGGCCTCAGTGGATGTGTCACAAGTCAACCTTCAATGTTTTGTTTACATGATCATTTGCAATTGTACCAACTAGAAGTTTGAAACTGTATGGTCTCATTCATTTGAAGCTTTCTAGATCTTTCCAGGCATTAGATCCAACACGAGTTTTGCTATGACAAAGTTAGCAAATGACTACCGCCTGTACTTAGAGTTAAATTGAGTCATTTCAATGATCTGGTGACATAGAGATGAAAAGTCACAAATGAAATCCTTCAAAAATAAGTTTCACAATCCATGTGAGATTCTTCATTGTGTTCAATGAGATGTCAGCTACATGTCTTGTTTCAGTTTACAATGTGTTGCACTGAAAAATTGCGTACAGGGAAAGACTTTTAGCTTCTTACTGTTGGAATAGACGTACATGTCTTGGATATATTATGTAATGCACTTGGCCATTATGAAGTTCATAAGATTGTTGGAAATATCAGTGCTTATGCTTCAAGCAATCCAGTGTCTGTTAGGGTTATGTTAGGGTGGCTACAGTAAAAATAGAGGGAAAACATACATCTTATGTAATACATACACGTAAGAGCAGCAGCAGCAACAACAACAACAAAACATTTAAGTCCCAAACAAGTTGGGGTATGATAGAGTTGAAACCCAGCAGAAGCCATCAAGGTTCAGGCACGTGAATAGCTGTTTTCCAAGTACTCCTATCTAAGGCTAAGTCTTTAGGTATATTCCATCCTTTCAAGTCTCCTTTATTGCCTCTACCCAAGTCAACTTCGGTCTTTCTCTGCCTCTCTTCACGTTACTATCCTGCCTTAGGATTCCACTACGCACCGGTGCCTCTGGAGGTCTCCGTTGGACATGTCCAAACCATCTCAATCGGTGTTAGACAAGCTTTTCTTCAATTGGTGCTACCCCTAATCTATCACGTATATCATCGTTCCGAACTCGATCCCTTCTTGTATGACCGCAAATCCAACGCAACATACGCATTTCCGCGACACTTATCTGTTGAACATGTCGTCTTTTCGTAGGCCAACATTCTGCACCATACAACATAGAAGGTCTAATCGCCGTCCTATAAAACTTGCCTTTTAACTTCTGTGGTACTCTTTTGTCACATAGGACACCAGATGTTTGGCGCCACTTCATCCACCCCGTTTTGATTCTATGGCTAACATCTTCATCAATATCCCCGTCTATCTGTAGCATTGATCTTAAATATCGAAAGGTGTCCTTCCTAGGCACTACTTGACCTTCCAAACTAATATCTTCCTCCACCCGAGTAATAGTGCCGAAGTAGTATCTCATATACTCAGTTTTAGTTCTACTGAGTCTAAAACCTTTGCACTCCAAAGTCTCTCGCCATAACTCCAGTTTCTGATTCACTCCTGTCCGGCTTTCATCAACTAGCACTACATCATCCGCGAAAAGCATACACCAAGGGATGTCCCCTTATATGCCCCTTGTGACCTCATCCATCATTAAGGCAAACAGATAAGGGCTCAAAGCAGACCCTTGATGTATTTCTATCCTAATCGGGAAGTCATCTGTGTCTCCATCACTTGTTCGAACACTAGTCACAACATTGTTGTACATGTCCTTAATGAGCCCGATGTACTTCGTTGGGACTTTATGTTTGTCCAAAGCTCACCACATAACATTCCTTGATATTTTATCATAAGCCTTCTCCAAGTCAATAAAAATCATGTGTAGGTCCTTCTTCTTCTCCCTATACCACTCCATAACTTGTCTTATTAAGAAAATGGCTTCCATGGTTGACCTTCCGGGCATGAAACCAAATTGGTTCATAGAGATCCGCGTTATTGCTCTCAAGCGATGCTCGATAACTCTCTCCCATAGCTTCATAGTATGGCTCATCAACTTAATTCTCCGGTAATTAGTACAACTTTGAATATCCATTTTATTCTTGTAGATCGGTACCAATATACTTCTCCTCCACTCGTCAGGCATCTTGTTCGATCAAAAAATATGGTTGAACAGCTTGGTTAGCCATACTATAGCTATGTCCCTGAGGCATCTCCACACCTCGATTGGGATATCATCCGGTCCCATCGCCTTACCTCATTTCATCTTTTCAGCGCCTCTCTGACATCAGATTCTTGGATTCTCCGCACAAAGCGCCTATTGATGTCATCAAAAGAGTCATCCAACTGAAAGGTTGTGTCCGTATTCTCACCATTGAACAATTTGTCAAAATACTCTTGCCATCGATGTCGGATCTCATCCTCCTTCACCAAGAGATGCTCCCTTTCATCCTTAATGCACTTAACTTGGTTGAAGTCCCTTGTCTTTCTCTCACGAACCCTAGCCATCCTATAAATGTCCTTCTCTCCTTCCTTCGTACTCAAAGTTGGTAAAGATCCTCGTACGCTCTACCCTTTGCCACACTTACAGCTCGCTTTGCAGTTTTCTTTGCCACCTTGTACTTCTTTATGTTGTCCACACTCTTGTTATGGTACAAACGTCTATAGCATTCTTTCTTCTCCTTAATAGCCCTCTGGACTTCCTCGTTCCACCACCAAGTATCTTTAGCCTCTCATCCACTTTCTTTGGTTACTCCACACACCTCTGAGGCCACCTTCCGAATGTTGGGTGCCATCTTCTCCCACATGTTGTTTATGTCCTCTTCTTCTTTCCAAGAGCCCTCTTTGATAACCCTTTCTCTGACTACCTCTTACGTCTCCCCTTTCAGTTTCCACCACTTTATTCTTTCAATCTTAGCTTGTTTATCCCTACGGGCACGCACCTGAAAACGAAAGTCTGCCACCAAAAGATTATGTTGAGAAATAACACACTCCCCTGGTATCACCTTGCAACTCAAGCATGCTCGTTTGTCCTTTCTTCTTGCGAGGACAAAGTCAATCTGGCTAGAGTGTTGTCCGCTACTGAAGGTCACTAGATGAGATCCTCTCTTTCTAAAGAAAGTGTTGGCTATCATCAGGTCAAAAGCTACCGCGAAGTCCAGAACTTCCTCCCCCTCCTGATTCCTACTACCATACCCAAAACCTCCATGAACTGCCTCGAAACCTGCGCTTGTAGTACCTACATGCCCATTAAGATCTCCTCCTATAAAAAGCTTCTCACTACTAGGTACAACTCTAATTAGGCCTTTTAATTCTTCCCAGAACTGTCTCTTAGCACTCTCGTCGAGGCCTACTTGGGGGGCATACGCACTAATTACGTTCAAGACCATATCACCAACGACAAGCTTGACTAAGATAATCCTATCTCCTTGCCTTCTCACTCCCACCACATCATTCTTGAGACTCTTATCAATCAAAACTCCTACTCCATTTCTATTCGCGACTGTCCCTGTGTACCAAAGCTTAAAACTTGTATTGTCCACCTCCTTCGCCTTCTGACCCTTCCATTTAGTCTCTTGAACGCATAATATATTTACACGCCTCCTAGTCGCAGTATCAACTAATTCTCTTAACTTACCTGTAAGCGACCCTACATTCCAACTACCTAAATGGATCCTAGTTGGTTCGACTATCTTTCTTACCCTTCGCACCCGTCGACTCAGATGTGAAGATCCTTGCTCATTTTTCACTACACCCAAGCGTCGATGTAGCGCGCCACTAAGGAAGCAACGACCCGATCCTTGCTCACTTGACACCATGCCCAGATCGCGACACGGCACGTCACCAAGGGGGTGCCGACCCGGCCCTTGCCCATTTAACACCATACCTGGGTTCCGATATGGCGCGTCGCTAAGAGGGTTACGTCCCAACGGTTTTCTTTCGGGTTTCATCTCCATTAGAATGGCTAGATTTAACGTTGGCTCGCCACGCCTATCACAACCCTCATCCTTTATCAGGGCTTGGGACCTGCTATGTTGAGACATACATGCAAGAGCCTTCTCAAAAATCTTGTTTTACAATGTAGTAGAAGTAGTAGTAGGGCCACCTAGTAGGAATGATGGTTTGCACAAGTCTGATCTGCTTTGGCGTAGTCTGCCTTGAGTCCTTGACTTGTATCTAGTTTATTTTCCCCTTCTGTTGAAGTCCGTTTTGATGATAATTCTCCTTTAAATGTTGGTGTTGATTTTTTGGTGCATATTTTCAATCATTGTATGCGCCACAAGTTAATGTGCCTTAATTTCTTTATTGCTGTTCAGGAGCTTGTTGGAGTTTTTCCGCTACAGGTGCTATGGAAGGAATAAACAAAATCAAGACAGGCTCTCTGGTCAGTCTTTCTGAACAGGAACTAATTGACTGTGACAGATCTTATAATAGTGGCTGTGGTGGTGGCCTCATGGATTATGCTTATAAGTTTGTGGTTAAAAATGGTGGAATTGACACAGAGGAGGACTACCCCTATCGTGAAGCAGATGGTACATGTAACAAGAACAAGGTAACATGGGGTTGCAGAAAAGTACCTTCACAAACTGTGTAGCGCCTTTTACCATGCCATGTTTATGTGATGTGTTTTCTTATATTACAGCTGAAAAAGCGAGTTGTGACAATTGATGGTTACTCTGATGTACCTTCCAACAAAGAAGATTTGTTACTCCAGGTTGTTGCCCAGCAACCAGTTAGTGTAGGAATATGTGGCAGCGCTAGAGCATTTCAGTTATACTCCCAGGTACAGTAACTGTTTATTTTACTTCCCTTCTAATTTCAGCTATACATAATTAGTTTCTTCTGTACTAACATGTGTTACAGAACAGTAACCATTTGTTTTACTTCCCTTCTGATTTTTCTTATGCAGGGTATCTTTGATGGCCCATGTCCAACATCTCTTGATCATGCTGTGTTGATTGTGGGTTATGGTTCTGAAGGTGGCAAGGATTACTGGATTGTGAAAAACTCTTGGGGTGAAAGTTGGGGAATGAAGGGCTATATGCATATGCATCGAAACACTGGTGATTCCAAGGGTGTCTGTGGTATAAACATGATGGCATCATTTCCTACCAAATCAAGCCCCAATCCTCCTCCTTCACCAGGCCCAGGTCCAACCAAATGCAGTCTGCTTACATACTGTCCTGAAGGATCCACCTGTTGTTGCTCATGGCGTGTCTTGGGCTTTTGCCTTTCCTGGAGCTGTTGTGAACTGGACAATGCAGTTTGCTGCAAGGATAACAAATACTGCTGCCCTCATGATTATCCTGTTTGCGATACAGATCACGGGCTGTGTCTCAAGGTTTGTTCACTTGACATGTGTAATCTGTTTGAACTTTAGCCATTATTTGTTAAGGCACTGGCCTGCATCAAAGTTTATTAGTGTTTGTTCTAATCTTTTCTGAATTAATTTTCGTCTTTATTTGATTGTTACCTTTCCTTTTTCAGTTATGAACTTTTCCATGTATGGTCGTTAAAACATTTCAGTAACTGACATCTTAACTGAATACTTTGATTTATTGTATCAGGCCAGCGGCAACTCTTCTGCTATAGAAGGAATCAGGAGGAAACAGACTTTCTCTAAAGCTCCCTCTTGGACTGGCTGGATGGAATTGATGGACCAATGAGCATATAATTAGATATGGATGGAAGGTAAGATTAAGTAAACTTGATTTCGCTAACACTGTTACATTTGGCGTCCATTCCTTATATTGCAACCCACCCATGCTGACCGTTGTCTGTCTCCAACAATTAACAGATTCAAGCAAGTTCTTGTAAGATCCGTAGGTCGGCTAGTGGCCTTGTTCAGGTGCCCTGTCACATTCCTGTATGTTCTTTCTCTACTACCCGCTGCGTTGCACCGAGATGCCCGGATTTGCTCTGTATTATTGAACCCTAGTCTGGTGTAAAGCTTCACGATTGTGCATGTTTGTCAGACTTGTATTAGCCTATGATTAGAGAGGCCCTGCACGGATGATTTACGGCTGCATAATAATAAAGAAAGAGAACTTGTCTAATGTTTGTAATTTGTACAGAAGGAGGCATCTAGCGCTGGCCGATGTGTGTTATCGTACGAAGAGCAACTAGGAATCCGGTTCCCAGTTTCAAAAAAGGAATCCGTTCCCGTGTTCAAGTTAAACGGATTCATAGTGTATCTTATTGCTTAACGGTGATGTGCGCCTTGTCGCTAAAACAGGCGAGTAGGCTGTAGGCATATCGCGGCATGAACATGTTGGTTTTGGTTATGCAATGCAATTGCTTAGAAGAAAGCGACAGCGAAAGCGAAGAGGACGAGGAGAAGGGCCTGGTGGATTGGGTACGGAAGTGCTTGGTCAGGGTCACCGTCGCCCGTCGGCGAGCCCATCGACCCACTGGAGATCTTCACCGTGTTGCTCCACCTGCCGGCGACTCCCCGCGAGATCGCCGACCATCTGCAGGCCGAACGCGTGATGTTTGGTTTCAACTTCCCCTGTCGATTAGGACGAATTCAGCGACATCTTCAGGCGCGGCCCCGTCATCATGCCTAGCTCGAAGACGACGGTCGACGGAGACCCTTCCCGTTTCGAGTTGTCCCTGCTGCTGTTCTCCTGGCGTACAGAGAAGCACTGCACTGTATTATATCTTCCTGTTGGGACTTGGGAGCTAGAGGGCATCGCTGGGTGAAGACTGAAGAAGGAAGTCTGTCTCCCCAAAGACGTCGTCGAGTACCCGTTCAGAAGGGACGTCAGCTTTCCCTGTCGATGGCTCGTTGGCTCGTTGGCGTGCTGGGTCGACCTCCGCTTGCCGCTTGGGCATTCTGACACCTGCGAGGAGGCTGCGATGTGCGATCTCGTTGCCCACAATTCATGAAACTCCACCTAGGGTGATGATTCACTCTAGATAGCCATTGGCCTTATACTGGTTGTACGCTGTTCTTGGTGTGAAATTATTATAAGTTGTCAGTAGAATCGATTTTGTGTCTGAAATGAATAAGGAGAAACCCAACTTGTGAATCACTTCATGTAATAAAAACTGTTTGGCAAATAGATTCTCAACGTGTCTAGCCGTGATCCATTATCTTCTCGTTTTTTTCAGTGGTGTCAACGATTTGTGGTTCTCCTCTCTTTTTCTGAAATGGGTTTTCAAATTATTAATTTCACATCAAATCCAAATAAATAAATATAATAATAAGGAGCCAGCCCTGGCCCCTACGCGTTCTTCTGCTCCACGTCGATAGAAAATGGGCCGGCGCCGGCGCCGGCCGACGCTGTGAAGCCGTCGCATTCGCCGTGGAGAAATATATTCCGATCCTCGATACACCGGTGATAGCGCCATATGCTGCGAACCCGCCCGCCCAGCCGCGAACGTGTCAGGCGAAGCGACCCTCCCCGAGTCGGTCGCGTCGGCCGTCGCGTCCGACGCTTCGCTTCCGGCCTTCGGACGAGCGGCGCGCGCGCGCTGGCAGCGTGTGGGTGAGGTTCGTTCTCCCCGCGATTCCCTAACGCCAACGCGCAGGCGTTGCTCTCCAGTTCATAAAGGTGAGGTATGGCGGAAAACGAGATCCCCACCAAATTCGTTTTTAGCGTGGGAGGCGCGCGGGGCCAAGACGGCATCGAGCTGCTCGTCGGCGCTTCGAAAGCTGAAGCATGCCAAGAGCACATTGCCAGTTTGATTGGGTAACCTTTTCTATTGTTTTCTCTCTTTTTTTCTATTTATATGATTTTTATTTGACTTACCGTCCAGATTGATGAAATCGGCCATGCTGCAGAACTAGGGTTCAGGGGAATTGATTTCCATTTTGTCAGCGTGTCCACTGCTTGAAACGAAGTCAAGACTAGCCCGGTGAAGTGCAAGCAAGCAACCCATTCTCGAAGATGGAATCAAGAACCCAGCAAGTTACATTTGCTAGGTGAGTGCCACCACACCACCTCCACCCACAACAGGCAGAATGACGAGTGAAAAAAAAAACATTATATTGCAGGATTCATATCATAAGAAATGTGGCTTCTTTAATTTCCCATCGCTAGTTTGCAGGGAATCATGCAAAGGTCGGTGTGGCCTGGGATTGCAGAGCAATAAAAGGCGAATATGAGGGGCTGGAAACAGACTGATAATCGCGTCATGGAAACTGTGTGCGTGAATTGGCTCCAGTAGGTCAGAGAATCTAGTTCCCTTGTTTGCTTTCAGGTCTCCTCAACCGTTAGCGCTGCCTCCTGCTTGCGAGTTGCGACTAGTGGCTGGTTTGGCCCTGGCATCCTTTGCTTTAGTCATCCTATAAATTGGCAGGGGCATGCTTCTTCTTGTCTTATTAAACTCACAAGTCACAACACGGTAGCAGGGGGGATAGTAGAAGGCATAGGCTCAGTTCTCTGACTCTCAAGTGTTTGAGACTATTTGCGCAACGAAAAATGGTACTTTCTTTTGTTTGTTTGTAAGCTTGTATGTGCGCGTGCACACTGGACACACATATTTCTGTGTTTGTTTTCCAAAACATTTGTGTCGATAATGGTCTAATGAACTTCTTGGAAATGCCATCGTATAATTGTGCAGAATAGTTGGGATCACAGCACGTGACAAACCATTTGGAGTTTTCATTTGCCATTTTTGGAAATTGGACCCTTTCTTGGAAATCTTAGAATCTGGAACAGAACTTGCATCCAATGATGCTTTTTTCCTTCCATGAAAAACTTACCAACTGAATGTTATAACAACACTTCGATTTTGCTGGAGATGAATTTAAATTGAAGTTACAAACACAATGATTTTTGTGATATGTCATATAGTTTTTAGAATTCTAGTTCTGTTACCATGTTCTAACAATAATTTTGTGATCTATGTCCACTAGAGCATCAAAAGCATTAATGGAAAGAGTCCCATAGTGGTTGGACCTTGGGGAGGGACAGGAGGATACCCTTGGGATGACGGTGTGTACTCAACAATACGACAGATCGTGATCGGCCATGGTGCAGCTATCGACTCAATAAGGATCGAGTATGATCTGAAAGGAAGGTCAGTTTGGTCAGAGACGCATGGAGGTACTGATGGAGGCTCTGAAACAGATAAGGTATACTTCACTAAATCATCCCTGAAGCATTTGTATTTTTTCTATTTTGATATCAAATGACCCTATTTGGATGCTGATGAACTTCAAAGACAAATTTTCATTTTGTTAATCTGGTTTACTCAAGCTGCACCGAGTTTGTACTCAACAAGACTAATTTGATATCTATTATAATCCAGACAAGTGCTTCTGTGTTGATAAAGTTCAGAATTGCGAATCAGTTTTCATGTCTGTTTGACAAAATTGTTCATGCTCTGTATAATCTGCAGGTGAAGCTAGATTTTCCAGATGAAGTCCTTGTGTCTGTAAGTGGACACTATGGATCTGTTTGTGGGACACCGGTCATCATAAGATCATTGACATTTCAGAGCAACAGTTCGACGTATGGACCTTTCGGCACCGAAGATGGGACACCTTTCTCACTTCCAGTGAGCAGCGGCAAGATCATTGGATTTCATGGGCGGTCTGGGTCATATCTCAACTCAATAGGTTTCTACCTGAAGCAAGTGCATTTTCCAAATCCAATGAATTCTCCAGCTTCACCTATGAGCCTCCCAAGCTCACAAAGTAGAAACGGCTATGGCTTCACTGGTGGTGATACTGGACCTGACATGGTTCTCGCTGTGCGAGATAGAGGCGATAGCTACGCTGTTTATGCTAGCAATCAGCCCAAGCAGCAGTATACAAACCCATCACCGGACTACAATGATGGAGCGCTCTGGAACAAGGTGTGACAAACTAGCCTACCACATGCATCCAGTTCACTAGCTATCAGATAATTGTACAAACTTTAAATTCTGAAATCTGAACTTCGCCTTGCAGATGGTTTCTTTCCCCAGTTACTATGGAGACACAGGAGCTGCAGCCATGAGCAGCCCTCAGACTTATGGTCCCTGGGGTGGAAGTGGTGGCACCATATTTGATGACGGTGTATACACTGGTGTGTGGCAGATCAATTTGACACGTGCAGTGGGAATTTCTTCTATTAAGGTTCTGTATGATCGAAATGGGCAGGCAGTATGGGGTAACAAGCATGGATTCAGCGGAGGTGTTATACCTGACAAGGTAATGTGACCGCAGTATCAGTTTTGTTCCTGAACAGTAACGTTTATCAGGTTTGGATGATCTGACAACTTTTGTCTTGGCAGATAATATTCGATTTCCCCTCAGAGGTGTTGACTCATATAACCGGGTTCTATGATTCAGCAATAATCATGGGCCCAACCGTGGTCAGATCTCTAACGTTTCACACGAACAAGCGGACATATGGACCATATGGGGATGAGTATGGCACATACTTCTCCACAAGTTTTACCAATGGAAGGATAGTAGGTTTTCATGGCAGGGAGGGGTGGTACATCGATGGCATTGGAGTTCATGTTCAGGAAGGCAAGTTGGCTTCACAGCGATTTGTTAGCAGACCAAAGACCGTGACTAGCCCATCAGTACATTACAACATGCTTGCTCAAGCGCAGAGCAATACATATACAGACAATGAGGTAACTAAAATTCTTGCAAGTCTGAAACTCTGAATCCAGTTCGGAAATGTGGAGCCATCACCAGCATTTCTGCAGGGGTGATAGCTGA